CCTCCTTCTCTCGTTCTTTTTTATCCACTCTCCTCGCCCTCTTTCCCAGCCACCGACCGTTATCTAGTTAATTAATCTCCGCCGAGACGGCGGTAGTCGACTAGCGGGGCGGTAAAACTCCCACCGTCGCTGCCGCCGTAACGAGCCGCGGCGACGAAAGTGTCGAGCGGCCGCAACCACCCCCTGGTCTCCATACGCCGGCGTGGCGTTACCCTCTTTTCGCCTGGAAATTTTAATTACGATGAAAGAAAAACCGACAGGCCTCGTTAGAGCCTGGACAAGTAAAAAGTTAGCGAGATATTCGGAAGAGTTCGGAAATTTGCACTTGTGTGAAAGATATCCGCATAAATACTTTGATAAAGTAGATTATAATCTTGGGATTATGATAAGCTTAATTGGTGGAGATGTTAAAGCGGACTCGTAAGTGGAATAATTGAATCAAACATATGAATATCTCCGTTTGTTATTTCCAGATTGCATAATTAGTTTCGAGATTCGCATAATTAGTATTATGATTATAAAATGGATAATCCTTTCACACTTATATGATATTACTATTCTAAGAAAAAACGTATAAGGTAGAATTTTGTTTTAGCTTTGCATTTTTAAATTTTCATTTTTATTTTAAACTTTCATAATAACATTGCTTACAAATTTATCAAACATTTACCTACGATTTTAAGAAGGAACTGCACGGATCAGCTACGTCAAAAGTTAATAGATCCAATATTTTCGAGATTCATAAATTTTTGACATTACGCACATGCACACACAAAGCATTTTTAGCTTTTTCAAGTATAAAATTAAAAATTAATTTGTAAGTTAAAGTAAAGAGATTTGCTTTGTATGTAGAATATAATTTAATCTCAAAATTATAAATATTATCTTATATCGAACTAATTTTTTTATAATGATTGTATCACGAAAATGTTATAGTGACTGTATAGAAAAATTCATGAAAATAAAAATTTTAATTATATAGGACAAATCTTTACTTTTTAACTCATTAATTAATTATTAATTCTTTATTAATTTTTTTTTAAAGATTAAAAGTGTGCTTTTTGTACAATATCAAATTCATGAATCTCGAAATATATTAGATTTATTAACTTTTGACGTAGCTGATTCGTGCAGTTGTTCCTTAAATTAATACTATAAATTTAAGATATTTTGTATTCAAAACAAAAATTATTTACGCAATTATTATTATATTACTGTCTCTATGTGAACACATCTATAAAAATATATATTAAGTTATCACGTTTACTATTTTCATACTATTTAGCTTTGCGACATTCTTGTAGCATTCGCACTTTAAATCACATTCCTTCTGTTGGTTATGCCTGTTGATCTATATATCAGATGTAATCGCACCAAGGACATATTAGTAGAATTGTGACTGAATAAGGGTAAAATCAGACCGACTGGGCAAAGACCAACCCTAAGTAGTTACCCGCGGTATTCCTTACCATAAGATAGAAATTTATTGATTTTAATAATGTTTGATCCACCGATTGGATAGTTAGAAATTTATATCTAAATTTTGTCTACAAATAGGATCCATAGGTAATTAAATTTCTAGCAGCCATCTGCAGCCATCTGTGAATTTCGCAAGATATATTTAAACTGTATTTAAAGCATTTACAACAACAAGCAAGCTATTACGGACATATGTACAATGAACAAATGCTGTAAAATGTATAAATATTTCCCAATTAAAAAATTAATTAAATACGTTCAATGGAGTATCACCAATGGATCTTCCATTGCGCGTTTCAATCGATGTGATAAAACACTGTAAAAATATAATATGCTAAAACTAACATGATAAATAGATTATTTTACAATAGAAGGATTTGAAGTGAATAAAAAATTTATCATATATCTTTTCTAAGGCAAGAATTGGCATTTTAAAATCATTGTATCGAAAATGAATATTTTTGGGTATCTTAATAAAATATCTGAATATTTTTTGGATATCTTAATAAAATATCGAATAATTTCAATACATCATTAGATGCGATGATTTCAAAGGAAGCGTTTGTCTCAACTTTGGATCAATTTTATCCTCAAGAACGAATATATCGATTCGCGAAAGTATTCCGAAGTCTCGCCGGTATCTGCACAGATGTCCCCGGATGTCGTCATTGCGGTTGTAATCGCTGCCGCTTCCGCCCCCGCCGATGCTAAACGTCACGATAGCGGTGGTGGCGGCTCGCACACTGCGCCCCCTGATGCGGGGTGGGAAAGAGTATTGATTGGTCCGTCTCCGTGGTCGTCGCCGTCGTCGTGGGCGCCGTGCAAAAGGGTGGCGGAATCGCCAGGCGCTATCACGCGGGCCCGCCGCGACCGTGTCGTTGAGAAGGACGTCCAGCCAGCGTCCGGCCGCGGTTACGACTCGCCGAAAAGATGGTCATGATGGCTGGCATGGACGACCACGAGCGCAAAGTCGTCCTCGAGTTCTGCCACCTGCTCGAGAAGAGCAAGCAGCTGTTCAACGGGCTGCGCGACCTGCCGCAATACGGACACAAGCAGTGGCAGGGTTACTTCGGGCGGACCTTTGACGTCTACACGAAGCTTTGGAAGTTCCAGCAACAGCACAGGTGAGTGGATCAAGATAGAGGGAGAAAGAGAAAGTGTATGCGCGTGTATATGTGTATGCGTGCGTAAGAAAGGGAGGGAAAAAGAGAGATAACTTTGTAGCATGGTTTTCCTCGATTTCTTCTTGGAGCACATCTGATAGAGATTTTTCTCACAGACTGGCTTTATTAAAACAGAGGTGTTTCTAAAAGATTTTTATTAATGAAAGACTATCGATGCGACAAATGTCTACCAAGCATCCGCAGCAAAGAATCGTATAGATTAGATTTCGTAAATTCGTTTAACTGTGTATGATTTAGCGATTTCCTTTGATGTCTCTGATGACCTCCATGTTCGTCCGTGATTTCTTTCGATCGAGCAGAAACAAGTAGTAACCGTTCGATTTTGACAGTAGTAACGCTCAGCAGAGTGCATGCTGCAAATTATGCTTATCATAGAAAATATCAAACTATATTTTTCTCGGCGTTTTTATATAAAGTAGATCTTTTTTTAACACACAAACGTTTGCAATACAGTATTATATTTCGCGGATATCGCTGATCTGACATTCTAATGATGATGACGAAATGATGGTCTGCATGGCGAAACCCACGTGACCGAATCCTCGTGCGTTGCGCTTCAGATTTTATATCTATTTGTCAGCCAGTCTTACGAGTTCAAGTTGAAATGATGAAACAGATCTTTTGTTCCAGTTTGTCTAGATTAATTAATAATTTACACAATAAATTCGTTTTGTATATCTCTTGAGGTATACTAGTGGAAAAATATTGGTTATATTTCTCATCTGGGCGCCGTGCAAAAGGGTGGCGGAATCGCCAGGCGCTATCACGCGGGCCCGCCGCGACCGTGTCGTTGAGAAGGACGTCCAGCCAGCGTCCGGCCGCGGTTACGACTCGCCGAAAAGATGGTCATGATGGCTGGCATGGACGACCACGAGCGCAAAGTCGTCCTCGAGTTCTGCCACCTGCTCGAGAAGAGCAAGCAGCTGTTCAACGGGCTGCGCGACCTGCCGCAATACGGACACAAGCAGTGGCAGGGTTACTTCGGGCGGACCTTTGACGTCTACACGAAGCTTTGGAAGTTCCAGCAACAGCACAGGTGAGTGGATCAAGATAGAGGGAGAAAGAGAAAGTGTATGCGCGTGTATATGTGTATGCGTGCGTAAGAAAGGGAGGGAAAAAGAGAGATAACTTTGTAGCATGGTTTTCCTCGATTTCTTCTTGGAGCACATCTGATAGAGATTTTTCTCACAGACTGGCTTTATTAAAACAGAGGTGTTTCTAAAAGATTTTTATTAATGAAAGACTATCGATGCGACAAATGTCTACCAAGCATCCGCAGCAAAGAATCGTATAGATTAGATTTCGTAAATTCGTTTAACTGTGTATGATTTAGCGATTTCCTTTGATGTCTCTGATGACCTCCATGTTCGTCCGTGATTTCTTTCGATCGAGCAGAAACAAGTAGTAACCGTTCGATTTTGACAGTAGTAACGCTCAGCAGAGTGCATGCTGCAAATTATGCTTATCATAGAAAATATCAAACTATATTTTTCTCGGTGTTTTTATATAAAGTAGATCTTTTTTTAACACACAAACGTTTGCAATACAGTATTATATTTCGCGGATATCGCTGATCTGACATTCTAATGATGATGACGAAATGATGGTCTGCATGGCGAAACCCACGTGACCGAATCCTCGTGCGTTGCGCTTCAGATTTTATATCTATTTGTCAGCCAGTCTTACGAGTTCAAGTTGAAATGATGAAACAGATCTTTTGTTCCAGTTTGTCTACATTAATTAATAATTTACACAATAAATTCGTTTTGTATATCTCTTGAGGTATACTAGTGGAAAAATATTGGTTATATTTCTCATCTTTTTCTCTCTCTTTCTCTCTTGTTGTTTCATTATTAACTACATTATACATTATGCATCATTTTTTTACGCGTTATTATACATAACAATTTAATATATTATAATCAATGATAAAAGTCATTCATCATATCTACTCTTCTCTATCAACTTATGTATGTACCCTTGTATATATTTTATCATAAACTTATAAAACATATAACTTCTTTTTATCCATAGGTAGACATGATGAATCACATAATATGTTATAGAGTTTGTATGCAATAACTAAGAAGTAGATATATAGGAAGTTTCATATATATTCTCTGTAGTCTTTATTGAAAATTCTCAACTTTTTAGACGTCAATATTCTCAATATTAGAAAAGTTTAAATTTCTATTTTTATATATCATTTTATCAACTTTATGTATTACACGTTACTATGAAAGGTTTATTTTATCGTTGCATGTGTTAGAAAAAACTATATTTTGATTTTTACGACGATCAGTTTTTACCGCCTAGTGTTTTAAGTTTGTTATATATAATTCTGAATATTGTATATTGTAGATTGCTTTTAATTTGTTTTTGTTTTTATATAAAAATATTGAAACGTTCAAAGTAAAACAATTTTTTCAGAATATTTTATATTTTACATTTAAATAAACATTTTTTTTTTTTGAGAAATGTGTTTCAAAATTATCACTCCTAACGAACTTGTAGATATATTTTACTGTTAATGTTCGCGGAAACACGCGTTTTCTCCCTCGAAAAACGACAAATTTTTGAAAATTTAAAATTATTAAAAAATGATTCAATTAGTGGCATGATACGAGTGACAAAATTTACTAAAAGAAATTAATTTTGAAAAGTTGAAAAGAGAGAGAGAAAGGGAGAAAAATATAATTCAATGATTGAAAAATTAAAATATATATTGAACGTGCGTATGTGAACACGTGCTGTGCGCGCTCATATGTACAATCTCATTTGTTTCCAGGACGATACTGGACACAAAATACGGCCTCAAAAGGTGGCAGATCGGCGAGATCGCCAGCAAGATCGGCCAGCTTTATTACCATTACTATCTACGTACCAGCGAGACGAGCTACCTGCACGAGGCCTATTCGTTTTACGCGGCGATACGCGGTCGCGCCTACTACAGCCGCGCAGCTAAGGAGGACAGGAGCGATTTGATGGTGAAGAAGCTCAGGTACTATGCTCGCTTCATCGTCGTATGTCTCCT